CACTTGATCAAAAATAAAAGATACAAAATGATGTCAAATAAATGTGTTGCAAACACTAGCATTGTGTGTGTGCATAGGAGGAATGGTAGGTGACACAGATAAATGTAACTAGTTTTTCAAACAAGTTTTAACTCAAAACTATTTTTTTTCCAATTTCTGTTTTTCCCCTTGTATATCTAATATCCCTTTTCTACCTCTTCATGATTTCATGGGATATTCTATAACTCTCAGCTATTTTCAGTTATCAAAAAAGTTTATCCACTCAAAAATTTTAATCTCAAATTCAATATCCATTGCACTTGTTCCTATCTCTCCCTCATGGGTTGAAGGGGGACTTCTGGGGACTTGCAGTGGCAGGGTGTGTGTTCACCATTTTGATACTCCCATTCCAGCACCTGGAATGGAGTCAAGTGGCCTTATCTGCCTCTGACCTTTTCCTATTCCTTCTGCTAAGCTCTAGATCCTCCCCTGTTGAGGGTAAAGGAAAGAGATTAGGATAAGGGGGCAAACTCACTGGCTGTGACTTTAATCCTGACTGTGAAGTCTACCTGTTCAAGCCCAGATAGCTTATGGGGGGGTCCCTGTGAAGCACCAGATATTCACATATCTTTGGAATATCCTATCGGGTTGCAGACCTCTCTTCTGTTGTCCTCTACAGGACAGAGGGGGTTATTAACCAAGGAGTGTGAAGTCAGCTTCTTCCTGCAGCCATCTCTAACTTTTATGAGGGGTCCCCTTGTTGGCCCTCGCAAAGCCTTCTCCCTCTTCTCTCCAGCTTCTTAATTAAGTAGAAAAGCAGACTGCTGCCTCTGGGGATTAATTAGGGTAGCAGGACCAGTTGAGCCATCTTTTTGCAAACTTGGAGAGCTGCCTCTCATAATTCTCTTTAGAATGTCAAGGGCAGAGGCTTAGTACTTCTCAATCCTTAGCTTTGGGCTTTAGTCAGGAACTGTGAAGAAATACAGTTAAATCATTAAATCATATATGTTAGAAAATTGGCACAGGACTAAAATCACCTGGACACACTGAAGCTAAGCAGAAGCAAGTTTATTGTCAGGAAATCTGCCAAGGCTACTTCTGTGCAGGCAGAACAGCGCAGACCTCCTCTGAAGTACACTTTTGTAAGTCAGAGCCTGGGTTATGCATTGGGGGTGGGCTTAGCCCTTGCTATTGCAGGTGGAGAACAAGCTTCAAAACCTCAACAACCACAAAGGGGAGGGGACAGAAGGAGCAGGCACAGTGCCACCAGCTCCTGGAATTGGCAGCCCCTGTGTGCGCTGTGGTGCAGGTGGTTGGAGATGTTAGCCTCTGGGTGATCTGGCTCTTGAAGGGGGAAGGGGAAGGGAACCAGGGTGAGGTGTCAGGCAGAATGGAGTTAGTCTGACTTAACTTTCTTAATTAACCCATAGTTATGTTAACAGGCTAACAATATATATGCATATGTGTATATATATATGATTAAAATATACACGTACATATGTGCGTTATTCCCTTTTAAAACACTAATGGGTTCATACTACATGTATCTCGCCTAGATTCCTCCCTGCCCCATTTTGCAATGTACCTTGTAGATCTTTCCATGTTAACACATTTAGATACAATAAGGAGTCCAGTGGGGACTGAGAAGCCATTAGGAGTGGCTGGAAACACTTCAAAGCAAACTGACCAACATTAAAAGCTTGTCTTAATCTCAGCTTCTTAAAAAATCATAGCCATCAAACTTCCCAATTGCCAACATCTACAACAAAGCCATAACAGCTAATATTGATTGGATATTTGTATGTGTAATTGACTTGAATTCTTTTCTTCCACACTCACAGTGACCTATAAGGTACATATGTTACAGCTATTCCCATTTTACAGATGAGGAGCATGAGGGTTTGGAATGGTTAACTTGCCTAAGGTCACAAAGCCAGCAAAGGGATGCACTCATATTTAAAGCGCTCATATTTACATCTAGGACTGTCTGACTCAATTATATTCTAGTCTCTGTGTTCACCTATACATTAAATGCTACATTCTCATTGGCTTTTCTCCAACTTTTAGTTTAAACATAAATCAAACATCCTGAGAACACATAGTCCATTCTTTTTAAGATTTAATCTGTGCCAAAAAAGCCTCTAAACTCCAGTTACCATGGACTCTTGAACATGTATCTACTTTAAGTTAGTGTTTATTCAACATCAGGGTTATGGATTGGGAGATTCTGCATTCCATATGATTTGAGTTGTAAACGGAAGTGTTTTTCTCTAATTTACTGAGCTGTCTGAGATTCTGCCACTGGAGATTCAGTCCTTAGAGCATTGAGTGAAGTAGAAGTCAGAAGCCAGGAGGATAATCTAGAAGCTTTCAAAAACATTTAGGCAGAGATTATTTAACCAAACCTCAAATGGGTGGGAAAGATGTACCCATAGAACACCAGGAAAAGTTTTATGGAGACTCATACCTGTACAGATAGAATATAACAATGGAGAAAACTGGAGAGATGCATTCACTTTTGGCCTCAAGAACCTAGACCTACAAAATCCCTCGTGGGCCTCAGAGAAGCATACCTGTCAACAGTGGGGCACTGCAAAGTGGTGCAATGAAACAAACTGGAGGTGGCAGGGATTAGGGGTTCTGGACACCCATCGGGGCAGGGCAGTAGCTCGTAAAGCACAAGAACCAGGCCAAAGGCCAGACCCAGCTCATGTGGGCTCAGAGCTTCAGAGCTAGGTTCCAACAGGGGAGGTCAGGCTGATGGGTGAGGTTTTTTTGGTTTTTGTTGTTTATTTTTTTTTTAATCTTTCAATAAATCACACATATCAAAGGACCATTAAAATAAGAGATTAGGAGACAGATAATGAATTTAGGGGATTAAATTTGGGATGATACTAGTATCCCCCCAAACAGACCTCTGTAAGTCAAAATCAAACACCCAAATAACATTTTTTTTTTTTTTGTAACAGGGATTGAACCCAAGGGCACTTAATCACTGAGCCACATCCCTAAACAGTTTTAATATTTCATTAGAGACAGAGTCTCCCTGACTTGCTGAGTTCCCCAAAGCCTCAGTAAGTTGCTGAGGCTGGTTTGAACTCGAAATCCTCCTGCCTCAGCCTCCTGAGCTGCGGGGATTATAGGCGTGTGCCGCTGCTCCTGGCCCAAATAGCCATTTTTTTTTTAAGTACACATAGATTGAACAGGACATTTGACCTAATTTTTTTAAACATTTTTCTTGTTGTAGATGGACACAATACCTTTATTTTATTTATTTATTTATTTTTATGTGGTGCTGAGGATCGAACCCAATGCCTCATATGTGCTGGGCAAGTGCTCTACCACTGAGCTACAACCCCAACCCCTTGACCTAAATTCTTATTATAACAGGAATTCACTTGATGCTTTGACTATATTCCTTGTGGCTTTGACACTTACATGTTTTTTTTTTTTCTTTTTCCCAACCTTCGCCTCCATGATCTTCTTTTCCCTAATCTTCTCCTTCATGATGTCTCCTCTCTAATCTCATTTTCTCTGAATCACCTCTGTAAAAGCCCCCTGTTCCTGCTGATGGGCAGAATCACAACCTTTGGGAGTCCCCTGTGTTTCTCCTTTGCTAGCAAAGCAATAAACCTTCTTTTCCTTTTTCCTCAAAACCATGTCCTCATTATTGGATAGGCATTGGGGACAAGGACCCAGCTTTTGGCAGCACAATCATAGACACTCTGCTGTTATTTGTGACTGGTAGGTAATCTAAGGAAGTGAAATTCACATACGTAGGAAGTTTACACAAATTGGTCCAACATTACCAAGGAAATCTCTCAGTGAAATAATGACCTAGTCATGAGGGGCAATCAAGAATAACAAACGCTGAGTTATTTAGAGCTGGAATAAGAGCCTGCTTCAGGGAAGGGGGTGAAGGAAAGCATCATTGGCAGTTACCCTAGGAAGAGGAGGGGGGGATATATACATATAATCCTAATATAGACTGAGGGACTAAGCAGCTAACTGGGATATTTCTGGCACAGTCAGCATCCATGAAAAAATGTATTTTTTTTTCAAGTTTGCCTCCCGATTTAACCACTTTAGTAGGCAGTACTTTTATATGCTTGGGACTCAAACTATGCATCTTAACTCTTCGTCTATAGTTTAACATCTACTATCCTAAGGACAGAGAAAGTGGGTTGGCTGGTTGGAAATCCAGCCAGAACAGGGATAAATGTGGGGAGAAACCAGTGCCCTTTTTCAGTTCCTCTGGTATGGTTCAGCGGGATCAAGACACCAAATCCATTATAATAAGACTATTCTTCACAAGCAACTGAAGACATCCAGAAGCCTATACTATGCAACCTCCACCAACGAAATTACACAAAGTAAAAGCTGTGCTGCATGTACAAGTAGAAACAAAAAGCAGTATGGCCATTTAAAGCAAAAATAACAAACAGGGAACAGACCACAATAGATCATCAAGCTTTCTTTATTAAGCAGTGGAATGGCATAGTTTCAGGAGAGAAAAGGGTGATTGACTACAACTGGGGTCTGATATTTTTAGGGTTTAAGTGAGATGGGTATTGAACCATGATGCTAARAAAAGATCACCAACTCCAATTTAAAGCAAACTTTTATTGTGTACTAAAGAGCTGGCCAGGGCCTGTTTCAACCAAAACCCAGCTAGAGAACAGTGACAGTTCACAAAGAAGAAAAGGTTTTTTATAGCACAAACAGTCACAAAGGCGGGTGACTTGGGAACTTACAGCTAACAGGGTCTGGTAAGATTAATACAAGGGCAGACAGCAGGTTTATGATCTATGTTGTTTAATATCAAAGTAGGGAGCAAACTCAGATTCCAACATCAAAGTTAATGAGGAACAGCTGGGATTTCAGGAAAGGTCATTGTCTGGTCAAGGTGAGACTGTGCTGGTTAGTTCAAAACCCAGGCAGGAATCTCAAGCAAGTTTAAAAAAAAAAAAAAAAAATCAAACTGTAGTCAAGCCAAATAGAAATCTTAGTATTTTACAGTAAAACAGAAATAAACTTGTCATGACTTTGTGATGAGATGGCTCCCAATCTTAAAATGGAATTAGGCTGGGTTCATCATTGGAATCTTAACAAGTGAGATTTGAATCATGGCAAAAATGCCTTGGCTAGGTTGTCAAGGGGAACAGTTGTGCAAATTCAAAGCTCAAATCAGCGTTAACAGTTGCAAGTGCCAAACCCATTGTTGCTGGGAAAGGGTGAAAGTCCAGACTCCAGAGGCCATTATTTTGCCTTTTCCCTGGGGTGGGGGGTTGTTATTTTTCATATCATTCATTAATACTTTTGTAAATAGTGGTGGGTCTGGGTTTGGAACCAAGGTTGGTTGGCAGTGAGTGCAGTGCCCTTTCACCAGGTTGCCTCTTTTAGGACTTTGTAGAAGCTCAGGCCTGTTAAAACTTTGCACCAGAAGGGTAGTTTGGGCGAATGTGGCAAACATTCACTCCTAAACACATTCATCAAAAGTGGCATCTTTTCAATAATTTAAAGAAGGTAACACAGCTACCAAGACTGTTGCTGAGACTGGGCTAAAAGGACGAGAGAAAGTGTAAAACACTCAACACCACTCAACATTCTTGGTTGTAGGCCAAAAGAAACGTATTCTGGCAAATTTGGGTGGAAATGAAATTTACTGGAAGTCTTTTGGACAGTTGACAGAACGATCCGGAGGCCTTTAGGACCCGGCGCAGCACGGAAGGTCTGGAGGTGGGCAGACGTCGTGGCGCACACTTGACGTCATCAGCTCGCGCCGGCGAAAGCGAGGACGCCAGGAAACCCGGAGAAACGCATTTCTCTCTGCTTCGGCTCGCACGCGCCATGGCGGAGCCCGTCCAGCAGCCCCCTCAGCCCAGCGGCGGGAAGCGCAAAGGAAAGGCTCAGTACGTGCAGGCCAAGCGGGCTCGGCGCTGCGACGCCGGCGGGCCGCGGCAGCTGGAGCCCGGGCTGCAGGGCATCCTCATCACGTGCAACATGAACGAGCGCAAGTGCGTGGAGGAGGCCTACAGCCTGCTCAACGAATACGGCGACGACATGTACGGGCCCGAAAAGGTACCGGTCTCGTGCGGGCGAGCCGGCGGGCCGGCCTGTGGGAGGAGGGACGTTGGAAGGTCGGCTGCCTTTGTACGCGTGCGCGCGACTTGCCGCGTGCGCTGGGCGGCGGGGGCGTGGCCTCGCCTGGGCCCCGCGCTCTCGCCTCTCCCCGGCCCTGCGCCCTCGCCTCTCCTGCAGACTCCTGGCCAGTGGGTGTCTGGCCTGACGTGCAGTCTGTCATCTTGTGATTTTCTTTCCATCTTTAATTACAGTACCTCCCATTTATTGAGTGCTTCCTGCAGGCCAAAAGATGTTCTTTACACGATAGCTTTGTGAAGTGGTCTGTAATAACGCATTTGCCCTAAGCCATGCTATTATCTGTAAAATAGTGGGTTTGATATTAATGCTAGTTATTAACCAAATGCACATAAAATACATTTAAAAAGCACATTTTTTTTTCCGTATTGGGGATTGAATTCAGGGACATTTAACCACCGAGCCACACATCTCCCGTCCCTTTTATTTAGAGAAAGGGTGTCGTTAAGTTGCTTAAAGCTTCACTAATTTGCTGAGGCTGCCCTTGAATTCGAGATCCTCCTGCCTGGGCCTCCCAAGCCGCTGGGATTACAGGGCTGTGCCACTGCACCTGGCTACTTTTTTTTTTTTTTTTTTTCAACCAGTACCACTTGAAATTTCACTACCCCATCACATTGTGGGTGTCATGATATATTATTGGCTTAGAATTTGTATCAACATTCACATAATACCCTGAGGAATAAAGTGAAGAAGAATAGTACAGAGGGCCTTATTGTTTTCTAGCTCTGGGACCTGGGCATAGGCACAGTATTTAATTTGGCTGAGTTATATTTAAGAAATGATAGTAACTTTGGTTGGCTAGAAAGTTGCTTATGTACATAAAGTATATTCTGGATATATACAGTTTCCTTAAATGTGCACGATTAGTGTTTGATTGCTGCTCTCATTGTTAGGGCAGAGAACTGGGCAACAGGTGAATGTCTGCCCTATCTATACTGGTACCTTGATCAAGTTCTCAAAAACTCTGTCCTTTTCCTCAGTAGAACAGGAGTAAGGGTTCTTTAATTCTGTTAACTATTTCATTCTGATCTTACCGACAGAAGAGTCAGGCMCAAAGATTAAATTTAGAGATGGTGTTAAGGTCCACCCTGATGGGCTTCATCTGATGAGCACAGTTTCCTCTGCCAGAYTGTCAAGATGCTTTTGAAAATGCTATCACAATCTGAGGGCACTCCCTTCTTCCCTCAGAGTTTGGAGGGAGTGTTTGCTCAGTCTTAAAATACTTGACTGTCAACATTAAGCCATCTGCCTCCAGGAGTTTCACATAAATATTTAATTATAGTGTTTAAACATGAGCTGTTGTGTTATTTCTGCCTATTGGTTTCATGTGAACAGTTTACAGATAAAGATCAGCAGCCCTCTGGAAGTGAGGGAGAGGATGATGATGTGGAAGCTGCCTTGAAGAAAGAAGTTGGTGACATTAAAGCTTCTACAGAGATGAGGCTAAGAAGATTCCAGTCAATGGAGAGTGGAGCGAATAATGTAGTCTTCATCAGAACACTTGGGATAGGTGTGTCTAAACCCCTAACGTCATTGATCCTACAGTATTTGGATAGCTCTCTTTCTCAGAAAACACTGCCTATTAAATGGCTTCATGGGCATGGCTCTTTTAATCATTTTATTGCAAACTTTGTGGACCATATTAGCAGTAGGAACAGAGAGAGGTAGAATGAGGAGGTGCTCATTAGCTTTGGCTTAGGAGTGGAAACCTGGCTTTGCCCCATTTCCTTTGTATGTAACTTTAGGCAGAAGGAAAGTGCATGTTCTGACTGCAGGGGGCAGTTGCTACCCAGCTCCAGCCAATGGTTGCCTTTTGGGGAATTAGAGCCAGATTTTATGAAGGAAATCTGGAGAAGTTCTTAGATTTTAAAATGTGGTCAGCTAAATTTAAAAAATATTGAAAACACTGAGCATTCCCAAAGAGACTGTGTATAGCCTGAGGACCACCACTTCATGACAATGCACTGTAGCGTTCAGAGAGTCTGTCTTCCCAGGTCTGAGATCTAGACTTGTGTACTCGTTAGTTGATATATTAGTCGAATCTTTTTAAGTGACTTGCAGTTTTTTGTTTTTGTAAAAAAGTGTTTACTGTTTAATGTTGGTTACTCTGATAGTGCTATTGTTATGGGAAAACAATAGTAGGGTATTGTAGTTGGATAAATTGGGGCATTAAAAACATTAACTCCAGAATCTACATGAATAATTACTTTTAACAAAAGCAGTAATGATGAAATGTTAAAATATCAGCTATAATGTAGGCACTGAAGAAATACTAGTTGGAAAAACTTGTTTGTTCTGTGCTGATTTCTTTTGTTTTCTTGTAGAACCTGAGAAATTGGTGCATCATATTCTCCAGGATATGTACAAAACCAAGAAAAAGAAGACTCGAGTTATTCTACGAATGTTACCCATCTCAGGCACGTGCAAAGCTTTCTTAGAAGATATGAAAAAGTATGCAGAAACATTTTTGGAACCCTGGTTTAAAGCTCCAAACAAAGGGACATTTCAGATTGTTTACAAATCTCGAAATAACAGTCACATGAATAGAGAAGAAGTTATCAAAGAGCTGGCAGGTATGTTTCTCTTGCTGATTTTATATGGGTATGTAGTGGTAAACACTTGTTTAAGGATTTCTTTTTCTTTGGTACCAGGGATTGAACCCAGGGGCACCTAACCACTATGCCACATCCTCAGCCCTGTATCATATTTTATTTAGAGATAGGGTCTCAGTGAGTTGGTCAGTGCCTTGCTTTTTGATAAGGCTGGCTTTGAATTTGTGATCCTCCTATCTCAGCTTCCCAAGCCGCTGGGATTACAGGCATGTGCCTAGGCACCAGCAAGGGCTTCTATTTTAACATATAAGGTTTACTTTTTTCAGTGTAAATCAAGTATATTAAAATATTAAACCTATTTCAGTAAATTAAATATGAGATTTTCTGATACTCCTTTCCAAACTGAGGTTTGGAATTTTCTTTTGGAAAAAAGTATATTTGTCTTTACCTACCCTTGGAAGATTGTTTCAAGGATTCCCTACGGATACCAAAGTGTGGATGCCCAAGTCCCTTATAAAGATGTAGTGTTTGCATACAACTTGTGCACATCTTCCATATACTTTAAGTCATCTCTAGATTACTTAGAATACCTAATTCAACATAAACATATAAACTGTTATTATACTATAAGGAGAAAATAATAACAATAAAAAAGTCTATGTGTTCGGCACAGATGCAGTTTTTTCCCAAAGTTTTTGAGCTAAGGTTGGTTGAATCTGTGGATGCCAGGCCCATGGATATAGAGGGCCAACTGTATATTTTAAAATTAAATGTCTCAGAACTTCATTCAAATTTATTTATTGAAAGGATTCAGGGTACTTGATTCAGGTTCACCTAGAAGAATGGACTAGTACATATTGTGTTTAACAAATCCCCAACAGAAAGGAACGAGAATTTGTTTATATCCATCAAGCTTAGTGGTATCCCTCTCAACCTAAATGTTGTTCCTATTTTTATTACAGGAATAGTGGGCAGCCTTAATTCAGAAAATAAAGTGGATCTCACCAATCCCCAGTACACGGTGGTAGTAGAAATCATCAAAGCTGTCTGTTGCCTGAGTGTTGTGAAAGATTACATGTTGTTCAGAAAGTATAATCTCCAGGAGGTGGTGAAGAGTGCTAAAGACCCATCCCAGCCTCACCCAAAGCTAGGAAATGGGAAAGAAGTGAAATTGGAATCTGATGTCAAATTAAATCAAAATGACCCCTCAGAAGGGAAAAATAACCAGCAGGTGGTACCAGAGAATAACGAGGAGCCAGGGCAAACAAAACCCAAGCCTGAGTCACAAGTGGTGAATGAGGAAGGAGCTAAACCTGAACTTGCTGATCAAGTCATGGAAGGATGCAAGTCAAATGAAAATGACCACTCGTAGGAGGAGGTGGGTTTCTCAGTGAGGTTCTGTGAGATGCTACCAGGGTTCCATGTGAAATTATAATATTTGACATTGTGCTGCAGAGTGCTAATCTCACAGTATCAACAGTGACCCCTCAGCCCTGTTAGCAGTTTTGTCAGAGCACTTTCAGCCCCCTTGGTGTGAGTATGGGCCCACCTGCTGTCCCACAGGGAGGGGGTGGGAGAAAGGTGTGGGCTCCTCCCTTCTTCTCTTCCCCAGCCTCCCCATATGCACTGCCAGTTGTTTTATGGAGTGAATATGCTCTGAGAAACAGAAATCAGAGGGAAGTTTTCCTTCTAAGCAAGGAATTTTTTTTGTGCCACAACTAAGCTATCCCCTGCCATTTTGTTCTAAACATTGCAAAAATGTGGATTTTGTAGATTAGAAGTGAATTGTTTTGTGATTGTTTTATAGTTTTGTCTTTCTTGTTTAGTTATTATGTCATTTTTATCTTTGAATAATGTTTGCTTGCTGTGAACAAGTATTATGGTCATTGCTGCAGTTTTTGAAGGCAAGGTGGTGAGATAGAAGAGGACCATTCCAGGCCTATACCTACAGACATTTCTGATAAAGTTGGTAATAAGGAATCATAATCTCCTAGTACAACAGACAAACAAAGAGATTCTGTCATTCCAGTGAAAGCTCCTCCTCCAGGGTTTGATGTGGATCTGTGAGCCAAGCTGTCCTGCGCAGTGGGCATTGTCTGTGGCATGCATCTTACTAGCAGTTAATTCCAGCAGTTGTAACTAAATCATTTGACAAGGATATTGGTTAGTTTAACAGCTTTTGGAATATCAAAAACAGTAAAACTTTTGTTTTAAAAAAATCACACTCAGTGAAAAGGTTTAGGAAGCAAATTATTTAGTAGACTGTATCCCAGAAAAGAAAAAACTATGTAGTTSGTGAAAATCTAACAATATCAACATTTCAGTGCTGGGGCAAGTATAAGAAATAGAAATGACTTTTCTCTCAGTTTTTAGTGATATGTTGCATGAGGTAAAAGAGGTTTTGTGTAGTTAACTGAGAAACAGCAACCTCTACCTGGGTTGAGTCATCAGATTTCACAAATATTTGTAAGATTTCTAAATGATGATGAAAATAAATGAACCTTTTTTTTTTTTTTCCCCTGCTGCTAGAAGTCTCTTAAAACAAAGGCCAATATATCTTTAAGTTATATCATTGTACCTAAAAAAAACGAAGGTCTGTCATCTGTACTAGTGCCCCATGTTTGGTGCTTGGCTCCGTGATGTTGGCGATACAGCACACTGCTTTCTTCACTGAGGTGCTGATATCAACAACATGGAGATGAAGAAAATTCTCAATAATGCTACAAAAATGGTTAATTTATTATTAAAGATTCATTTATGCCAAGAATGTTAAGCAAATCCCCAACTAAAACTTGGGACAAAGAGCACATGTATCTTATACAACCTACAGATACCTGGTGGCTTATCAGAAGAAGAGTTTGTAAAGAATGTTTGAGTGGAAAAGTGAATTACTACGGCACTTACAAGAAAATAGGGCAGGACTTGCTGAGTGCTTTCAAAATGAAGAATGGCAGTAGAAAGCAGCCTATTTAGCAGAAATTGCTATTGCATAAGTAATGAAAAAGTTTCTGCAAGATCCTAGAGAAAAAGTTTTTTCTTAAAGTGATAAGAATCTAAGATATAGAAAGAAACTTAACTCTGGAAAAGTAATTTTAAAGAGTTGCCAAAGGAACTCTTGAAATGTTTCTCAGCAACTTGTACTTCATAATGAAGAATGCAAACATTACAAGTCTTCTGCCTGGAAGGAATGCAAAACCAAAGTAAGTAGTGTTTCTTCTCCTGTTTCCACTCTGAAGGAAGAGAAAGAACTCCACTCTGGTCTTTCAGCTCAGGACTTGTTTGAAATAAGAGCATCCTTCAACTTGGTGCTCACACTAATGCCATGAGGTATTCCCGCAGGGGTTACCTGAATTTGAAAATGTCTTCAAGGGTCCCTCCCAGGTAAAGTGATTGAAAAAGGCTGGAAGACACTTAGGAGCAGTATAATATAAATTGTGTAGATTGAGAACATTAAGGGACTATTCTTTTTCAATTTAAGAAAGTTTGGTAGTAGCATAAGTGAAAACTCCCTACATTAGAGTGTCTGCCTGTGTAATAGCTAGTCACCGTGGGAATGCGTGTGTACCCTTAGAGCTCTTTGTGATAAACCAGACTAGGAGGATGTGGGAGGGACAGAGAGGGTGGTAGGTATCTTCAGATGTTTAGAATGTTAATGAGGCTTTAACATTCTTCTTGGAAGGATGAGTGCTGTCAGTGTTGTTTGGGGGAACAGGGAGGATGGGATCCTGGTGCCTTCTTCAGTGGACTTGCTCCAAGACAAAGATACTTTTGATAGTACAAAATAAAGGGACTCTAGGAATAAGTTGGCCATACAGCTACAGAACATAGAACTCTGTGGCACTAACTGGTTCCTTTTGCTTTGTGAAGCTGCTACTTTACAAAAGAATTTTATAGTTTAGGTCTAGTCACTTTTTGTGTTTATTTGTATTTGATAAGACCTGAGTGTCACACAAACTGTTCTTCCCCAACTGTACAATACCGTGTTCTGTTGGGGTCTCAATTCATCCATTGACAGCTTTTGCTTTCAGGTTAACATCTGTTTATTTTCACTGACATTTGAGCATCTTGTTACAAATGATGAGATTCCAGGGTGGAATTGAATGCTTTTCTTTGTTTTTCTTTTAAATTTTAAAAAAATTACAGCAGTTAAAAACACTCTTGTGGTTTAATGAACTCTTTTGCTCTGGTGAAAAAAGAATTAAAATTGGCATTTTAAAATATGTTTCTCAAAGCTTAAAAACACAATTTTCAAATGTTAGTTTTACTTGTGTTTTGCTTTTTGTATAGCCAGATATTCAGCTTGTTTTTCATAGTTTCTTGTATTTTCCAAAAAAAGAATCAAAATAAATTTGTTCCGTAAAAATTGGTGTTCTGTACTTTTTCTTCCTTTCTACTTCTTAGTAATACAATCTTGTTTCATAGTATACATATCACAAAAAATATTTGCATGTCAAATAATGTATCAAAAAAATCATATACATGGTTCTAAAAAGTAAGGATAGAAAAAATTTTTAGTTGCTCTAGATTAAATACTCGAAGCACAGGCCTGTAATTCCAGCAACTCAGGAGGCTGAGACAGGAGGATCATGAGTTCAGAGCCAGCTTCAGCAATAGCAAGGTGCTGAGCAACTCAGTGAGACCCTGTCTCTAAATAAAATACAAAATAGGGCCGGGGATGTCGCTAAGTGCCCCTGAGTTCAATTCCCAATACTCTCACCCCCAAAATTTCCTAAATAATCAAAGTTTCAGGTATTTTACAGGATTTGTTCCAAAACAAGTTAACAATATAGTGTTATAGTTAATTTCATTAAATTCACTTTTGAGTTATTTGGACTCCTCATTTTAACATCAACATTTTAGTTTGTCTTCAGATATTAATCTCATAAAGATGCTATGCAGAAGAAATTCTGACTTGAACATTTTTCTTAGAATTATCCTTTAATTAAGCATGACAAGGTAAATGAAACATTTATTGTGGGCTATGCTTTTCAGAGTAATCATTTTACCTCTGCTATTTTAAACACTACAAATCATTACCTTTGTTGGTTAGGTCATAATAATATTCTTCTCAAATATGTTTAGATATTTATTTGCTGCTTTATTTTTTGGCTAAGTGCAAAACAAAAATTCAGATGAGTTTTCAACCAGGAAAAATCTTATACATTTTAAGAAAGTAATCAGAATTTATCAGGAAGTACTAAAAGAGAGCTTCAAGTTACCCTTAAATCCTTCAGTTTTCTTATTAAGCTACCTTCGTCCCCATTCTTGGTCTCTTAGAACGTTGCGCTTGATTTTTCCAGTGATTGTCTTCGGGAGTTCTTGAACAAATTCCACCTAATTGACAGGCATATTATGAGACACTTAATTCCATTGGCTTATCCCAGCTGTCAGTGTAATAGGAGAGAAGGCTCATGAAACTCAGAGGCTGAATTTTAGCTCTGGAGATGTTCTTAACCTGAGCTCATTGCATTTTGTGGGCACCAGAAACTGGTCTGTTCAGATAGTAAGGACCACAGGGCAGCTGCCTCTTACTGGTGTTTAGAGTAAATTCACTATGGGCTCTGCCAGAAGAAAGTAGCTCCTTTTGCCCCTTTGTTTCCTCTCTAGACTTGACCATAAAGTCCTGTCTGTTCCCTTCAAAGTAAGATTATGGGGAAAAAAAAAAGATGTATTTTAAAATGTCATCAACCCTCATTTCTGAAAATCAAAGGGTTTAGTTTATTGGAGAAAGTGTTAAAAKGGTTGATTAGTTATTGGGTTGAAATTAACTTCCTTTTGGCTCAAGTGGCAACTGAAATGGAATTGGTTCAGAGAGGATTAGTCCGTATCAAGCAGTAGGCCTCCAGGGCAGGAAGGAAACTGCAGTTCTGTCTGTACTTAGGATTATTTTTGAATCCTCTCTTGAAGAAGGTTTCAGGGAAGATCCTTCCTTTGGATACTATCTTCGTGAGCCTTAAATGAGGTCACTTGATACTTTCAGGCATGCACTTTGAATTTATAGGCCTATTAGGCCAAGAGTACCAAGAAGAATCAGGTGCCATCCCTAAAACTAAGTCACTTTGGCAGATACTGCCTCTATTCTCCTCCCCATATGGTATAGAACTAAGAACTAATTAGTTACATAAGGATTCTTACTTTGTATTTCAGAAGTTTTTTTTTTTTTTTTAAACCTAGTTTATCACATATTTGTAGTGCCCTGATACGTAACATTTTAAAGCAAAATTCTCAGGCTAAACTGAAAAAGTATACTATAAAGTCAAAAATCCAGTAAAATCTATAGACCTGCTTAGACCCTAGTTTGGTAACCCAAAGGTGTACTTGCCTTTCTTGGATATTTGTAAGGTGCAGTTGATTTTTTCACATGATCCTGAAGCTCCAGAGTTAATTTCTCAGGGTTGGAGGATTTGAAAGGTGCAGATAAAACAACAAAAGCTTTCACCACCTGCAGGCAAAAAAAAAAAATTTACATCGCCATCTTTGTCTTTCAGACAAGTCAAGGGCTGAAGGTAGGCACTGTTAATAGCAACCCGTGATAAGTTCAGTCACCTCTGAACAGAGTTTGTACACAATTATAAAGTTTGATAGCTATTTCCAGGTAAATGAGTTGTGAGTGAGGGGTGCAGTGATGCTTTTATGGCTGAGTTCTGTTTACATGTCACATATTTAACATTTCCCTTGACCTGTGTAACTAAAGAGACATCATTGATTGACAGATGACCCCTTACACCAACAAGCCTATAAAAGAAGCATGTTGTTGCAGGACAAATGGAGGGTCTAGAGAATATGGTTTGAAGGGGTGTTGGGGACCCCTAATGGAGGAAGGATGATGTGTCAGTAATGTGCATTTGACCACAAATGCCTCTAAGGTGTTTCTTGCCTCCTCTGTTTTGCCTCTCTTTAGAGCAATTAGATCATTATTGGGTTAGCAAGCCTACTTCAAATGTTATTCATACATGGATTCTAATAGGTACATACTTTTGGTGTCCTGAAATCAAGAGGAGACTATTTTGGAAAATGTGATTAGATGATAGTGGAGGGGGTCCAGGCAGTAGGGGCACAGGATCCCATGTTCCTGCAGAGGGTCTCTGGCAGGAGAGAGGGAGGAACAGAAAGCTGTGGGAGGATGCTGATAGGCACACTATTTGGGGATTTTTTTCCCCCACTTGCTGAGTCTGGAAACTTTCATGAGGAATGGAAATTCTCCTTTCATGTTATAAGGCTTCCTCCTAGAACTAAGGTTATTATCGTCATTGCCTTAGTAACCTTTCATTAGACCCTAAAAGGCCATGAGACTTATTTGGAGTCTGGCCGCAATCTATTTGTATCTTTTCCGTAAGAAACTGTATTTTGAGCTCCCTGACAGTTTTACAGACTGAAGTCTATTGCTTTTGTTTATGTACCCTCTGTTCCCCGTTTTTAGTAACAGTGCTTGTAGTTTCCTATGGAGCATTACCCTAACTTCTCCCTGGTGGGGTTGGTACTAGCCCTCATGTCTGATGACAGGCATGTGACCCAGGCCTGGCCAGTGGCCTCTATCATTCTCTGGACCACACTGGCTAGAGATGTGATCTAAGATGGGCAAATGAGATCATGGAAGTTACTTGAAACAGTTGAAAAGAACTTTTGTCCTTTCCTGGAAGAGTGTGGAGGATTGTTAAGCCACAGGAGCCTGGAGTTGGTTGTTATCCACCAAAGTGTTCAAATGGTGCCAATTTAAGCAACAACAGAGCCAGACATGGAGAGAGACTGTCACGCTAACTTCACTGAATGCTTGGCTATATCTGCTCCTGAATACTTGTTTGTGTGAGCCCCCTGATATACCTAGCCTAGTTATCTCATTAGATTAGAAGCCAGCTTGTCACAAGTTATGAAGGATTCATTTCTGTTTTCTGTAAAAATATCAGGATGTCTGTATGGCCTGGCCATTAGTTGATGTTGTAAAGCTGATTGGAATGCCTGCCCGTGCCCTGAACTCACCCAGGTCCGGTTTTCCCTGACCAGATAACCACCCTTTCCTAAACCTTAGTGACGCCTCATAAATTCTGGCCTTCCCTGGCCGGACAATGACCCTCTCTGAGTCTCTAAGATCTCCATAAATTCTGATGCCGGGGCCAGCAAAAATGTAAACTTGTGTTATGCTCCTCAGAGTGTTGTTATCTGTCACCCCCCCCTTTGTGTAACTTTTTGGGCTATAAAACTGGGCCACAAAGAAGCCTCGGGGCTGTCTTGTTCCCACCGTTTTGGGAGGGAAAGGCAGCCCGGCCGGTCAAAATAATAAGCTTGCTTTAATTTGATTTTAATTGGAGTCAGTGGTCTTTTCTTGCATCGTGGTCTAACACCCCCCAAATTATTATTATTGTTGTTATTATTATTTATAACTGAAGTC